GGAGAGAGATAACAAACTGAAGCTGGGATGTTTGTAGTAGTTTGGACTTTGGTTCTCTGTACATTTACAGCAAGTCAGCAGTAACCACAAATCACGCACAAACTACAAGTCATTGATTAACTGTTTCATTTCAATTAAATATCGGCCCAGTAGCCCAGTAAACTCAGTTCCAGTCAACTGCAGTACATTGCATGAGGATGAATGAAGATAAATCTGCCCAGTCTCTGTCCTATTGTTCTTTAAACTTTAGTCTGGTTGCTGTGAGTGTAGGTCATGCGATTACATTCAGCTATTCTGTCTCCATTTCTTTCCCAGGCATTCATTCATTCATTCCTTGCCAAGTTCACCAGGATGATACTGAGCAAGGAAACAGTTCGCTCTCATCTGCAGTGAAGCAGAACAGCCATGAGATGATCAATATCTCTGAAGAACCAATATTGTGTGTAGATCCCCTGGGCTACATCCCAAGATACAGTTCTGCAAAAACAAATGGCCTAATTCTGTTGATATTGAATATATGGTATAAAGTGAATGAAAAAATTAAAACTGACTGTAACTTTACGAGATGACAAACTCTTGCCACCTGACTTTACCTCAAACACATGCCTCACACTCATAGAAAGAATCAGCTTAGCATTCTTGCTTTTGCTGAAATGAAGCCTCCAGCATCCAAATAGTTCACACCTTTAAATGCCTTCACAGCAAAACACCTTTAAAGGCCTATTCTCTTATTCTCTCTCTGTAGTACCTGATTTCACCCCTTTTCATCTCAGTAGCACTTCTTTGTCTCTAGTCAACGCAGCCTAGAATGCAATTCACAGTCTCTAAATGTACGCCTGCCGCTTCTCCCCTATTTCTTTAATCTAAGCACCAAATACCATGGGACAGATTGCAGCTAAAACATATGAGAGAAACAGTCTCTGGGTTTCCAGACTTAAAGAGGTAGTAACCCAATCTCTGGGTATAATAAACTCTCTCTGGATGATACTGTACTTACGCTCCTAAATCTGATATTCCTATTGCTGCTGGACATGATGCTGAGGTGACTTTCTGTGAAGGAACCCCTCGCCCCCATCCACTTATCTCCCTCAGCCTTCTTTAGTTTTTAGAAAATCCTTTTTTTGTGGGTACTCATAATCTCATCCAAGCAGATCCATCATTGCCAATGAGACCATTTATGCAGGAAAAGGCCCTTAAGGTGATTCTGTAATATGAAAAGTTTTCTTTTTTATTACTGCCGAGCACCGGGTCTGCCTTCTTTCAGCATTTTCCACACAGTAACGTAAAAACAAAAAAAGCATTTAGACATCTGTCATTTGGGAACAGTGTACAGCTACCACTCTTCTTAACATCCGTACCCCACTGTTTTATTGTTCATTCTGCCCCATGCATTTGTTTTTATGTACATATATTTCAAATTCACCTTGGTTGTTGTTTGCACTATCCAGTTAGAGGCTAAAGTGCATCTGTGGTACTGGTGCTTACTGTGCACAATGACAATGAAGCTGCTTGTTTTTTCATTAATCACATGGCATCCCTTAACATTTATTGTGTCTTTGGAGAGTCCTTAAACGTGCAGAATGAGATCCAGTTTTGTCAGAGCCAAAACCTCTTTCATAGTTCAAATGAGTACGCAAGTGTATATTATACTACAGTATAATCTGTAACAAATTTACCCTACTACACTACCAAACACCCACATGCTACATCATATTTGTTTTGTACTGGTGATTACCGGTACATCAGTGCACTCACACACTTAACAGCAGCTCCATGTGCTTTTTGCTGACAATCAACCACCTGGTTCTCTCTCACTCTGCCCCCATGTTCCTCGACTCTACTGTCAGCTCCATCGCCATGCCTCTCAGGGACCTTACTTTCACCCAGCAGTCAGGGGTGGTTTGCTTTGTAGCCTGCTGTCTTCTGAAACCTGCTGATCTAAAATACCTTGCCAAGGCCTCCACCCTCCCAATGAACCCCTGACCAAGCAACAACAGCAAAACAAGGACAACTCTCATTGTTCACTTCTTCATTTGGATGCTGAGGTAAAGTTGGCCTGTCTTCCAGTGTCCAACTTCATACTAGGTGAATGAGTGGGATATACCATAAGTGTATTGTTTCACTGTTTGAATAGGATTTAAAGGCTCAAATACTTCAACACAAGGAGAAATGCAAGCTGCCACATGCTGGCGGAGCACATTTAGTGGGACACAGTCACAGCTGTGAATGCTCTATTTAATGACACACACTGAAAAAAAACACACTTATCCCATTGCTAAGGCCTTTTAGTGGGTCACCCGACTGTAATCAAGTGAAAGTGAACAAAATATTTTTCATTACTCTGCTTCACTACCTATTTCTTTCATATTTCCCTGTATATTATATCTTAATACAAAGGCTGTCCATTGTCAGTAGGTGTGATTTAGCTTTACCTGCTCTCTTGTGCCCCCTGGTGGTAGACAAAACACTTAAACTCAGTGTTGTTTTACAGGTTGTTTATACTTGTTTGAAGTATTTTGAAAGGGTCAGAGGTCATGGGTCTGATAACCATACATGTGGGCTCTGGATATTAGGTAAAAGCCCTTCTGTGGTGTTTGTGTAGTTTTGTTTGGGTTTTAAATGGCATGAAATAAGGAGCCAAGAATTACAGTCATTACAGTTTACAGAGAAGGGTGTGCTCAGAGATCATCTTTAGATTATTTTCTGGTTTGTCAGTGTGAAAACTATTTATAAATCAAGGTTAAAGCCTTTTTAATGGCACTGTAAACTAACAGTCGATTAGAAATTCATGTGGCTGTGATTTATTTGCCATAAACTCCCATAAATGTTGAATACGTTGCAGCTGCAAGAGATCTAATTGCCTATGAGTCCGCCTGACTTGAAATTTTGAACAATCCATCCCTGCACACACATCATTTCCGACAAAATGACACAATAAAGGATTGTGTTGTCTTAATGGAGATGAACCTCTTTTGTTGCTTTCTGGGTGTTTTTGGATTTACATAAAATATTGTCCACTATTCACATTCATGTGTACCAACAATTACTGGAATAAAAGTTGAAAACTGATGAAATGCACGATGTTGCCTCAAGACTTAAACTAAGACATGTCTAACATGCAAATGTATAATTCTTCAAAATAAAAGTTCAAAATTGAAAAATTTCCAATTTTGACTCAAATTTTAAAACAATTTTCAAGCAACCTAACCTCTCACTGAACTCCTCCAAGGACTTTGCAAACATGTTATATATCACTTGGAGGGTTGCATTTCTCTGAGGTATGAAAATTATTAACGGCAGTACAACTCAGACACTGCAGCCACTTCACTGCATCAAGGTGGAAATGAAAGGTAATCTTCAGTTAATAGAAAGTTAAAAATTGTCAGGGTAAGAAGTTATCATGATAGCAGGTGCACTTATACTAAGTTTGTGTGCAAGGTAACACAACTGCATTATTTTGCATGGCATTGTGTTTGGGTTTTTTGTTTGCAGTCTAATCAGGTTAATTGACATGCATGTGGTTGTAGTGTGGTAGGAAACTAGAGCACCCAGAGAAAACCCACACAGGTACCGAGAGATGATGTTTCTCTGAGGCTGCAGTGCTAATCACTGAGCCACCAGTGTCACCCTGGAAGAGGAGATGGAGGTCTGAGAGTGGAGAATAAGGAGGTGAGGGGAGGAGGTCCAATACCCTATTACTTCTTTACCCCCTCCCTTCACCTCTTTACCCTCCACCCTCAGACCTCACCCCATCCCCCACCCAGACCCCCCTCCCTCCCTTTTGACCACCTCCTCCCTCCAATCATCCCAAGTTCAGCATCAAAAGTTGGAATGATGGGAGGAGGTATTTGAGGGTGAGGAAGGATGGGAGGGGAGAAATCTGGGTGGGGTGACAATGACCCCACTCCGCCCTTCTCTACCACAGCTTGGGTGTGCACACATGTGAGCCATATCATCCTTTCAAATACAGCAACATAATTGTAATGTCCTTAAGTCAGTGGTCATTGGTTAAGTTTCCACAGCTCATTCTTGCCCTTGCCCAAATGTCTGGATAGGATTTGGTTATGTAATAAAGTTATACCATCAGCCAATCAGACATCAAATTATGTGCAAATTTGTTATTTTAATGTATATACAAATGCAAATTTTTAAAAAATGTCCCATTATTAAAATACAGAGGACTGTGTGGCTTTGATGAGGGTGTTTTCCTGAGTTATCTAGTCTGCACAAACATCAGCCAAAACATAAATGCCATTGTAGGATCACTGCTGTAATGAAACAACATTCAAATAGTGAGGTTACAAATTGCTGACACAACCTCCTTGTGCAGAGAAATTTGGGGGCGGCTGTGGCTCAGGAGGTAGAGCGGGTCGTTTCCTAACCAGAGGATTAGCGGTTCGATTCCCGGCTTGTCCAGTCAACATGTCGAGGTGTCCTTCAGCAAGACACTGAACTCCCGGTGATGTCACCGGTGTGTGAGTGCTTGGGAGTGCGAATGGGTGAATGGCCGAATAACCAGCATTGGATTGTAAAAAACATTGTGTAGCATTATTTATTGACCTCTCTAAGGCTTTTGATACTGTGGATCATGTATTACTGATTAACTCGTTGTTAAGGATTGGTTTGTCGGAGGGAGCGATCCCTTGGTTTAGGAATTATCTTTCAAATAGGAGGCAAGCTGTCCAATTGGGAGGTTCTTCCTCGTCTTTTTTAGAAATATTAAAAGGGGTGCCGCAAGGCTCGGTCCTTGGACCAATTTTATTTTCTATTTATATTAACAATGTGTGTGATAATCTTACAAATGCTATGTATCACTTTTATGCGGATGACACAGTAATTTATTGTTGCTCTTCTACACTTGCCCAGGCGGCAAAATGCTTACAACATGCATTTGACATTGTTCAGTTTCGCCTACGGTCACTGAAGTTGGTTATAAAAATGATGACAGACCTGAAGAAAACGTGTATGGTGATGTTACATAAGGTACAAATAAATAAGGACAAGATGCAAAGTAAGGCACTTGAGTAATGTGTTGATTAAAAAAACAAAATAAAAAATGAACATTTCCATTTGGACATCAGACACAATACTACAGTTGGCCTCACAGACTGATAACCCCACCATGAAAGTCATAATCAACCAGTCAATATGGCAGTGTAGTCCATAATGAGTCAGTCTAACAGATCCAAGAAATTAAACAATGTCTTGCACATATCTTCTCCCTTTTTTGACAACATTAATGTGGAGTGTAGTAAAGGTTCACTAAGGTTATCCACCTCTACAGTATATTTGTAAAATGTAGTGCACCCTCTGCTGGCATAAAACTTTATCATGTTAATTGGCATTAGACTTGACCAAGTTCAATGAAAATAGCCCGTTCAAAAAAGGTACATATGAATGGATACCACATCTCAGGGGGAAAAACTGATTCTACCTGCAGTGATTGTCGACAACCCTGAGAAGTACAAGAGCTGAGGAACTCAAATGAAAACAGAAAAGTCATCCGTCAGCCACTCTGTAAATCAGTCAGGGTTCAAAGTCAACTCCAAACCTAAAGAAAACCTAAGACACATGAGAACAACCATACGAAATAAAACTTTAGCAACTCAAATCAAAATAGTATAAAAACAGTGAATAAACATCAACATTCTAGTGTACAAAAATGGCAGAGCTCAAGCTTGAAACAGTGAACTACATTTCTATTACTACCATGACGAGGCACTACGACCAACACAAGCACCTGTCTGCTGGAGTTCATGAACAAACGGAAACAGCAAGCAAACAACTCAAAGTTCCAACACTGAACTTAACAGTTTGCAGTGCCTCAGAAGTTGACAATGCCTGCACGCTTCTGTTTGTCAAATCAGGACGTTTGAGTTGAAATTACTACTTTGATGAGCAAGATCACATTGTTGTTTTAACATTACATACCACTGCTAAAGACCTATCTTTATGTATTTTTAGTGTTCAGAGCAACATTCAGCAAAAGCTTGCTAAAGGTCAGAAATTAAGACATCTGGATTGATTTGATGTACCGCTTTTAAAAATTAAATCTGAAAAATACTTTGCTGGTTTGAAAGAAATTTGACCAAAGTCATCCATGTTTACAAAATCTTCAGGATCACTGTGACATTTCATTATCTTCCCCAATTTACCTAATTATATCTGATGTAGGAACTCAGGCAAAACATAGTTTGTGACAAATTTTAACTCCTGTCCCAAAATGTTAAGGCATTACTGTACAACCTGTCATTATTTTATATCTGATTAGTCAACACTTACAATTCCCTTAAACAAAAACATCAATAAAAACTAATTCACACAAATAAATCCATCTCCAGCACCATATCCTGAAGCACAAGGCACACATTGTTGTGTTCTTTATGTATACAAGAAATTAGAAGTGTGCAGTAGTGTAGCTCATGGTACAACTAAGTATGACAGGCAGCAAAACTAGTGGCACACAGCCATGAGGTAAATCCCAATTTCCTTATTTTATCATTCTTCACCCCTTGATCCTCGCTCAAACCAGAAATTCGTCAGGAGTGAGGATGCTGCCATGAGCAAGGATACATGAGTATCTGTGGACAGACACACCCCTTTAGGGGAAATCAGTTGGTGACTGGACACCTCAGACAGAGGTTAGATGGAAAAGAAGCCTAATGTCTCTTACACACGTTTCCTCAATTCCTCTCACTACACATCTTCTGCTCGTATTTTTTCCTTGCATCTTATGTAAACAGGACTAAGGCTCAAGGAAAAGATGCACTTAAGGGAACTGGGATTTAGCCATGGTGTATGTACAGTGTGTGTCTGTTTGTTAGCTTCACCCAGGTAAGAAATGAACCAAATGTGTCGAGAAAACACTGAGTCACAGCAGTCGGTGCCTCCTGCCTGATCTTTCAGGACTAGGATCACACTTCTTCAAAGAAGGCCATCTGAGACATGTATGCAGAGTTTCGCTGCAAAACAAGACAAGTGTGATCAGTTTGAGAGAGAAGTAGAGGTGGCCCGAATCGCTATAATGAAATGTTTGTGGTTAGAAACTCAGAGACAAGTATGCTGTTATGAAATTAATACCGTCCATAACAACAAATTCATATGCTCCACATCTTTGAACATTTGGCTGTTTTGGCTCATTTTTGCCTTTATTTACAGGCCTGTGGAATAGTCACTGTCTTTACTAGGCATGCTAAATATTGTTATTTTCAGGATGAGCCAGCAAAAACTCAGAAATACAGTCATTTGGTGTTGGCTTAGGTTCTAGGATGGTTTTTATTAAAAAAAAAGTTTTATGCAACTTCAAAATTGCTTGGGAACTTAATCTTTATGTTATGTACTCAAAGGTTTGCAAAAAAAAAGGCAAATATGAATGTTTGTGCTCTGGGTATATCTGACAACACAATCATCAGTAAAACTAATAACACTAGTAACTACAGAGGCGTCAGAGAGTGCAAACTTCTGCCAAGGCAACTCACTGTCCCCACAATGCCATTCTACGTTAAAGCGATATCCACTTGATAGTGTGACCCTCACTACCCCTAGCATACTGAATCACAGTGATATCATTATTAGTCTGAATGACATTCAAGAAAAACAATACATCAGTAATAGCGGTCTTCTTCAGAATCTAGCTCAGATCTGCTCAGTCAGCAGAGTTTCAGCTAGAATCTGATCTTAGCTGCAAGTCTGCTGCATTATTTAATCTCATAGTAGCAAATTTTCCATGAGCCCTATAACTTTGAACATTCTGGATCAGCAGATCTGGAATATTATTTGGATCCAAATCATACTTTACTGTGTGGCTGATCTCACGTAGATGTTCTCTTGCATTGTTTGTCAAAGCATTGTAGGCAAAAATACTGAAATTGGCCGTATCTCACAATGGTGAAGAATCCTATAAAAAAAAATCCCTGGATCCTGATGATGACCTGGATCAGGATCAAAATGTAATTGATTGGACTGTCATACCCTACCTTTCCAAAAGATGTCATCAAAATCCATTCACTACTTTTTGAGTGACAGTATGTTGTGAACAAACCAATCAACAAACCAACAAGTGAAAACAAAGATGATCTGGTGAAGTGACCACACGTACGTTGCTGTGAGGTATGTAGACAGGTTCCTGGACATAGCCCCTCGCTTCACTGCGGAGACTGTAAAGCCCGGCCTGCTGCTGCTGCTCCTCCAGCTTCAGAGACTCGACCTCTGACTTCAGCTCCTTCAGTTGATCCTGCAGGTGTTTACTCTTCTCCATGTATTCAAGCCTGTATAAATAATATCTGACAAGATATAAACAAGCAGAGGACAAACTGTCTTTCAAAACCATTGCAGGGAATTTAAACTCCAGCTCACCTCTCTCTTTCTATCTCCATAGACAGCCTTTTCATGTCAGAATCCTTAAAGTCGAGGCACGTAGATGTCGATTCATAGCCAAAGTTGGCTGCTTCAGGAGGAGCAGGTGGAGTAGAGTAAGCTGCTATCAGCTGGAAGAATGAAAAACAGATGTCAAAAAAGTGGACACACTTTTTGCATGTGGAACAAACAAGACAGAAAAAGCTACGTTTTTAAAAATACCCATGAACGTGTGAACAGGGCCTAATATATTACAGTCTTCTCGCACACAATGGAAAAGTGAAAGCACCATGAATTTTCACAGAATGTAACAGCAAGTCAAATGTTTTAGGAAAGTTGCAATTTTTTTTTTTTTTTTAAACAGGTTTCACTTTGAGCAACAACACAAACTAAGTAGAATTAAACATCTAATAAAGCCCAGCCTAATATAAAACATTTAAAACAGCTCCTGGCAGTGCACATCGTATCTATTTTCTTGTTTGGTGCTGCAGCCCTCTGGCCTTGTCTGTGGAAAACTGTAAAAATTACAATGGCTCCTTTTTTGTACAAGCTTGGCTGCTACAACGTCTCTGTAGCAAAAAAGTAACTTGTTTTTCCTTTTAAAAAAAGTGTGTGTATATGCTGCTGTTTCTGCTGTGTATAATAAAATGAAAAACTAATTTTATCTCAGCTTCATACAACCCACAGAGGAATGAATTCCCACTTCCTCTCTGCCACTTAAAGACATTGTGGGAAAAATATGAAACCAGTAACTAAAATAGAAAAAAATTAGACAATAGCTAGAGAAGTCCCCTCTAAAAATAACTCCTCAAGTGCACTGAACAGCACAGCAGGTAATACGGTCTCAGTATCGTCACCATACTGGGTATGTTGTTTTGGTGATCTCCAGCAGCTTCTGTTTGGCTCTCCGCTCAGCGTCCTTCGCCTCAGTCAGGTCCTGTTTCAGGTGATCTGCCTCCTTCAACCTGGAACCAGAGGTTTGGTTATTTCAAGGCTAACGAAAGACAGTAATGTCTTTGTAATGTACAGTACATGTTAGGAGTATTACAAACAGAATGTGGTTTTTTTAATTCCAGATACAGGGACTGATGATAATGGTCACTCTTGATGGCTGTTTTTACTGACCAACTGAATTTTTTAAAACTTATTATAGGAAAACAGCCATGAAATCCGAAAATATGATGGTGCGGAATTGTAGAGACACAAGATGACCACATTTCTGTAGCTCACTCCTCGTCTCTACTCGAAGCTAACAACTCAAGGCTATGTTAGTCATAAATAGTACAGCTATAAGTCAAGTGGCCTATTATACAGAAAATCATCAGCTGTTCCCCGACCCCCCTGGAAAACATCACCATCCCCTGCTGCCTCAGTAGAGCTAGAAGTATTATTAAGGACCCAACCCACCTTGGATACCACTTCTTTGAACTGTTACTTTTTGAGAGACAGTATAGGTCTGTCAAAATACATAGATTCTAGATTCAGAGACAGGCTTTTCTCCAAAGCCACATGCACTATAAACTCAAATATGCACTGAAGGGGCTTCTGTGTTACTGTTCAAAGACGTTCAAATACCAAGTACAATACAATAACACTATTACCATATGCAACTCATTTTTACTACAGAGCCCCAGAGGCTTTTTTTTTCTTTTCCTTTTTCATGCATTCATTTTCGACCGCTTAATCCTTGAACGGGGTCACGGGTGAGGGTGGGGGGAGCCAATCCCGGCCGGCAATCGGGCGAAGGCGGGT